AAAGATTACCTGAAATTGGAGACGATCTGGTGTGCAGAACTGCAGATCAGTGCTCAATCGCTGTCCCTCCAGTTACAGGAGGTGTGCAGAACTGCAGATCTGGTAATCTGACAAGCTATGGCCGATGGAGACTAAGAGGAGAGTCGAAAGGAGAGTTGCAAGCTATGGCCGAGGCTGATGGTGCGCAAAGTGTAGAGGAGAGTCGAGAGGAGAGTTGGGAGGAGTCGGAAGACCAGATGTGGCGGGATGAGACCAGATGGGTGCGCGGGAGGAGACCAGAATCCAGAAGATGCGATGAGTCTTAGCTTTTAGGGTTTTTTTTTTTAATTAATAAATAGAAAAGTTAAAAAGACAAAATTAACCTTAAAAATTTTTAACTTAAAACTTTTAATGAGGGTTAACATGGTAATTTGACCAAAACAGTAAAAAAATTACATAGCAGCCGCTATGTCCACCATCCGCTATACAAATAGCGGCCGCTATTAGCGGCAATAGCGGCCGCTATCGACCAAACGCTACGCTATCAGAAATTTTCATAGCGGTCATAGCTGGCCGCTACGCTATGCCGCTATAGCGGCCGCTATGGCCGCTATTGACAACACTGGATTTTTCTGTTAACTTCTGCTTGTTTTGTCTCCGATATGGTCATGTTATTCGTGTGCCCACTAGTGGGAGGTTTATAAACGCTAGCACATGTCGACATGTTACTAATAGAACCGGTTCGTTTCTGTTATCCTGCTAGTGGTATTATACACTAGTAAATCGTGTGCCTGCCAATGGGAGGTTTATAACACTGGCAATGACCTATAGAAGAGACGTCTATTTCGTTTCCGTACTCATACCTATTTTTTGTGATTATACTAGTTGGCATGCTGTAAGTTTAATTAAGGGCTATCCATATTTACTTACTGAGTTTATCTTATAGTTTTTCTTTGTCCACCATTTCAGGAAGCGAAGTCAAGGACGGGGAAAAACGAGGGGAGTGACGAGTTAGAAGGCTAGCCATCTTGTAAATTTGATATAGATTTTGGGTATAAATCGTGATGTTGTAAGCTAGATTTTAATTGGAGATTTTATAAATTCATTGAATGGATTGTTAGTTTACAAGAGATTTGACCTTGAAATTTTGAGTTTAAGTCATGTTGGACATAGAATTATTTTGAGATATCTGATTTAAGTTATTGGATTGTCAGATGTGAATTGGATAAGTTCTGAGCCTTGTGTATTTGTGGGATCCTTTCACGAGTGCACGGCGTCTGTCACGCCTCGAATTTGGGTTTTGGGGCGTGACAATAGGTTTGGTTGCTGAGAAAATTATCATGGTTGTTAAGAAAATTTGTTGAGAAAATTGTGATTTAATTAGAAATTAATTAGAATCTTAATTTTGATTAAAATAAGTAATTATAGTTTAATGAATGGATTAAAAGGTGGGGTCCATAATCTAGTTGAAAAGTTTGATAATTGGTGAGTGAAATCTAATATGGCATAACTTTTTGTCCATATAAGCATCTTCTTCTAATTTAATTTGCCACATCATTAAAAAATATAAAAAATGCCACGTGAATAGAGTTAATGGCCCAAATTGACAGAAGGACCAAAATTGTGCAGTTTTGGGAGTTGAGGTGTCATGCCCTAGAACCGGCAGTGAAACAGACGTTGTACACCTATGAGAGGATCCCACAAATGCACAAGGCTGAAACCTCCTTACTTCATAACTAGCAATCCATAACTAAGATCAATGTCTTAGAATAAAATTTGACTTTCAAGAACCAAAGCTTTACTAGGCCAAGAGTATAAAAAACTTATACATGTCCATCAGTCTAGCCATTACAATCTCCAAGGGGAAATCTAGTCTACAAAAGAATGCTCTCTGGTCCAAAGGCTATATCAACTTTTTGTTTAGCGGCCTAACTCCAAAAGGCAAGAGGCTAGCTTTCTAACTTGTCACTCCCCTTGGTTTCCTCTATCTCAAGTCTCACTACCTAAAATGGTGGACAAGGAAAAATCATGAGATATCGTAGTAAGTAAAAGATGGGTAATTCTTATTTAAAGTTAAAGCATACCAACAATGAAATCAAGTATCAAGATAAAACCGATACGAGTATGGGAATGAAATAGATGTCTCCTCTATAAATCACGTCCAGTGTTTATAAACCTCCCACAGGCGAGCACTTAAATTGTTAGTGTATAATCCCACAAGCAGGATAACAAGTATAACATGAACCGGTTCCACAATTAACATGTTGACATGTGTTGGCGTTTATAAACCTCCCACTAACAGGCACAGTAAAACATGACCAGATTAGAGATAAAACCAAGGAGGAGTTAACAGGAAAACCATAATTTACAATTAACTTCCAGATCATCAGGGTAGTCAAGTAAACTCCAAGTAGGCATGCTCAACTCATTAAAAATGATAATAATTTCATTTCAAACCAATCATATTCATGTTTGTGTAAAACGTGTTTAATTCTGCCACCATCTCAAAAACCATCCGAAATATGCTTTAAAAAAAAAACCTTCACCTTAAAATCCAAGGAAATTACCATACTTTTACTTACCTTGTCTTGTACTTATACAACAAGCAAGAATTTCAAGGTTTCAAGGTTTCAAGGAGATGAAGGTGACTTAGAACCTATGCCACATCAAAGGATAAACAAGATTACAAAATACCCAATTTAGCTAAATTGGCTTTTAATACCAGTATCAAGTTTCCATCTAAAGAAACAATTTCTTCCTATACATCTGTTCAGAGGTGTCGGTGATGTAGGTGGATGAGTCAGTAGTGGTGGTGACATGGAAATTGACTAGGATGACACTCGAGAAAATGAGGGGGGTTTCCTTCGACGACATCTATCTCATGTGTAGGAGGCTACATGTTACGGGCCATCCCGTTCCATTGGGTGATAATATCTTGCAGTGCACTTTCCAGCAAAAGCTTTTAAAAGATGAACTTTTCAGCCAAGCTGGTAGAACTAGGTAACAATGACGAGATTCTAGAGGTTCAAGGTGACCACACAACTACCAAAAACATGATGGAGATAGGTTGTGTGTTGTTAAGGAAAGGCAGCTAAGATGTGAAATACATATGGCTCAAATATTACAACTTGAGAATCACACTCATAAATAAATCATTGTAACATGATAATAATGACAATAAACATGACCTCTTTCATCCCTAGTGTAGATTTTTACTCTATAATGAACAATCCTCATATTGAAAATGAAGAATACAACAACTCCAATCTTGGGGTTCTTCCAAAGACAAATTGATAAATTTGAGAGTGGTGATGGGAAAAGGAAGGATGACCACTTGGGGCCTTACGAATGGAATGCTTGATCCCGTTTTGATGCTAACATCATAACCTTGATCATCTGATGCTCAAGAAGAACTATCCAAAAGCTGAAACTACACATGTTGTTCCTTGGCCATAATAACCTACGAATCTGGAAATATTTTGTAGTGTTGGGTGATATTCTATAGTGCAAGAAAGTGTTTTGCAGCTGGAGAATGCTCTACGATGTTGAAAAAGACTTTCTAGAGCTAGAAAATATTCTACAAAGCTGAAGAATACTCTGTAGGACCGAAGACTTTGGAAACTCGAGAGAAATGGTGGTTCACGAATGATTCCTATGTGTAGAGCAGTGGGTTGAAGATGGGATCTATTGTTCTTTCAAAAAATGAGAATTTTAGTATATGAGTCTATTGTGGTACTGCATGCATTTTTCTTTGTGTATGTTCTTGAAAATGAAGAACATATAATTTCTCAATGTGCAGTGGTGTTGTTATAATTTCTGGTTAGTAACTTATAGGTGTGTAGAAAGGTTGGGGTGAGCTGTCGATTTTTTGATGGTTCCAAGCACTACTAGCAGCTCCGTGACAATGGCACTACTTGAAAATGAGAGTTTTGCTAGTTCTGGCAAAGAAACTGGAAATTGTATATTTTTGACAATGTCCCCAGCCATGCGAAATCCCATCTTTGGGGAGGTGCTTAAATGCAGCCGACAAAAACAACATCTGCATAGGATTTGGTGAGTTCCCCAGGTTATGTGCAAGATTTTGGAGGATTATGCTAGTAGATAACAATCTTTTACAATAGTTTCCAAGGCCATGGAACTTATGTAGCCACCCTTGCATTAAGTATGGCTGCAAGTGGTTGTTGGTGACCAAGACAGCACCTCTGGTTAGCTTCTGGCGAGAATTCCAATCTTCGGTTAGCATCTAATTGCACTGTTTCGGGAATCAAGTTCATTTCCATGCTTCTGCCGCCCAGCCTCTTTTTGGCGAAGTCGGGTAGCATTGCTTGCGCCAAGCTTCGTTGGTGCAGATGCCTTGCTGTGCTAGACGGGCAGCATTCGTCCATCCATGCTTGCCAAGCCACTACTCCCATAATTTATCCGAAATAATCCCCATGAGCTTGGATTCATGGGCTTGTGTTTATCTGCAGTAACAGCAAGGCATATGTGAGTATATGTTCAGATATTTAATAATAAGAAACACACAAGCATATGTAGCGAAGAAGGAAACTCCCTCATGTGTTAAAGGGGGCTATGTGAATGAATATTTATTGCTCTTGTATGCCTACTGGCCATAGCCGGCATCGATACATTGTTGTTGTGCATGGCTGGCGTTGCACCAGAATGAGGAATAAGTGGTATGGGTGTGCACTGCGATATCGTTGTGCTGAGCCAAGCTTCGTTTGCTGACGATACCTACTGACACGTAAGATATAGAAAATGTGTTATGAGCGAGATTACTTACGATTGGTAATTTTGTCTCTTTGTATAGAAGAATGACTATGTACATGACCTCCTGCAATGTTATGTATGTATTGCGGGGTCAGCCATGCATAGCTTTCCAATAGCCAAAGGGACAACAATGGGTAACTTTGCCCATGGCTAAAGCGTGAACTATGTGGAATCGGAAAAGCACTCCCACTGATTTGCCAAGCTGCAAAGGGGTAAATCTCATTAAACTAGACTCCGCCATAACGATGAATATGTATAGAGAAAGGTGGAGTTGTCTCCATGGAAGGGGGACGCCAGCTGCATCCATGGCCTTTGATACGACAAGGTGTGATACAACTAACAAATGTTGGCCTTTCTTGTCATACCCACATCATCAGAGGGTGGTCTTGCTTGTCGTTGCCCGCCGGGCACCGTACTACCATGCATGGGCCACCACCAAGGGACTGTCGGCTACTTCTGGATGGATTTTTATCGCTAAAGGGTAACCATCCCATCCGATCACAGAGTTGCAACTGTTACCAGCCTCATGCTAATCGTACCGAGTTATGCTGACTATTTGTCCATTTTCGAGAGCTAGTGAGATAGAATATGTAGAAATCTAACCTTTTGTCCGTTGTTGCGAGCCAATGAAATGAAGATATGTAGAGATGTGTAGCCTTTTGTCCATTGCTAGATGCTAAATGAGATAGTAAATCTAACCCTTTGTTCATCGTTGAGAGCCAAAATATGTAACAGTAAACATCGCTGCAAAGGACATGACAGTCAAAAATGCCCAGGCATGTTGCATAGATAATGTGGCCATGTCTGGCCATATGTAAGAGAATGTTGCTGAAGTAGAACATGTTTGTGTCATTCCCAACGAAGTGGGTAAATGCCACTCCTGCCGATATATAAGAGAATAATGTTGGGCATTGCTTCTGGCGATGTCAACTCCTTTGCAACAATTAATAGAAAATATGAACTGCATGTCCAATGTGGGAAGTGAGTGTTGTGGGCCTTGCTAATGTGGATCCGCACACATCATTGGTGATGTAACCATATAAACTAGTCCCTCAACATTAGCCTGCCAAGCGGACGAAGTTGTGACAGCAAGTTTGGTCACTTGGCGTTGAGGGAGGTAAATAACCAAGGCATCTTCCTTATGACCACGAGTTTATTTAGACGGTACAGAGATCAGATAATCAATGTGGGTTCCCCTGTCGAAGCAAATGTGATTTGAAGGACTTAGGACTGCCAAGATTTGGCTTGGGCCAGGTGAGTCGTTGACGGTGGGATGACTTCGACGGAGTCTAGGTTGTGTTAGGCTTGGCCATGTAAAGTAGTAATAAGCATACGCGAGTCTAGTATGACTTTGGCTACCACTGGTGAGCAAGGCGTGGGACCAAATACTGTTGGCGGGGTCTCAACACGGACGTGACCCAAGCAAGGCCGAAGCAAAACTCCGAGCAGTGGTGATTCCAGCTGTTGTAGGTATGAATCTAGTGAACAAACTTTCGGCTGTGTCCTTGCTAGGATTCTCGCATGGGCTGCACTATGTTTCTTCTTGGAAAAATAATATGTTTCTGAGCAGTCATTGTAGACTCTTTTTTTTTCTTTGAATATTGTTTACTATAGTTCAAATGTGAGGGAAAGTCGGAAACTATTTCCCAGGGAGGTTTTCAATAGTTAGAAAGAAAAAGTAACCCCCCTTTTGAAAAAGATAAAGAAACTGAACCTTCCTAAAAAATCTCGTTATGATGGCGCATAAAAAGGGGAGATTTTAAAGGAGATTATGTACATGCATATGCATCAAGACAACGTGCACCTTACTTGCCGTCCCTCCGATAATTGCTGGCCATGTCAATAAGCGACAAGTGGCGAAATGGTTGGCTGGTGCACTTAATGTTACCCTTAATTTCCCTTTCTACCATTCTCCTTTTGCTTTAGTGAGTTTTTCAGCTTTCCCTTTTTTCCTTTTCCACAAAACCGTTGAATCCTTCTCTTTCTTCTATGTCTCGGATTTTCATCGTCTTCTCCCATCAAATTTCTGGATTCCTTAACAAAATGACCAGACTTTTCTTGAGAAGGTTAATTGAGTGCACAAATTTGCCAGAATCCCTTTTGTAATCGAGATAATGATGGATCCCTGTTTCTTTGTCCCCCCCCCTTTTTTTTTTTGGTTGCATACTACAGATTTCTTGTGCTTCCATTAATCTAGACCTTGGTTTTATCTACTCCTTTCTTTTTGTAGAAGGCCTTAGAAGATGGCCGATCCTTATCCGACCGATGGAGTGCAACCATACCGTGACCCGTGGTACACTTTTTAGGATGGCCTTTTGGAATTCAATGCTTGGTCAGCGAAGAGGGTGCTCGAGAAGCAAAAAGATCTAGTTCTACTTGAAGATTTCAAGGGGAGCAACAACAATACAGCATGGTTTCCTTCGCCACGTGACGTAATGCGGGCGAGGCTTGAAAGGTGAGATTTGCTACTGATGCCAATCCACTTTGCTTTCCTGTCTGGTAAAATGGAAGATTGGTCTGGTTGGGCTAAGGAGATGCTTGCCGAGAATGGCTTTGTGAGATATTGTGTGCCATTGGAATTCTTAAGTCGGTAGCTTTGAGCCAAACTTTGCAAATTAGCAGTAACGTGGAGTGCCTCCATCGCTTGGTGAAGAGGTGGTGCACAAGCACCCATACTTTTATCCTTGTTTTTGGGGAGGTTATTGTGACTCTAGAGGATGTGGCGAATCTGATGTTGCTGCCTATCACGGCACATAGCATTAATGCCAAAGGAGCGTGCCACGTTAGTGGCCTTGAAGAAGGTGATGAGGAAGAATGTTAATGCCTCTTCTTGCTCATGGAGGGCATAATACAACATTGATTTTCCAACTTGGATGTGATATTTTTGGACGAGCGAAGGTAAAGATAGCTTGTATGTACTTGCAGCCTTCCTTACAGCCTAGTTGAGCAAGTGTGTCTTCGGAGGCTTCCCAAACCACGAGATTATGGTTGAGTGCATTCCTTTGATAATTCAATTAGCTCAAGGTGTGAAGCTCCTTTTAGCCCCGCTGATGCTAGGTACGCTCTATCACATGCTTGATTTGCTTGACTTTGATGAGATCCTTGGTGCAATCTATTACATCATTGAGTCGCATGTATGTTTGCTTTTGCTACAAATGTTTACATAGGAGAGATTTCGCTCACATCACGTTGGTTGTGTTACCAGTGGGAAAGCTTTGAAGGAATATCCCATGGCGAAGTGTGGTTACACCAACGAAACAACGCCATTAGCTTGTTCTTGGATAGGAAAAAGGAAAATAAAGGGACAGATAATCCTAGAAGTTGATGGCCTTTTGGACGACTATGGCAGCTTTAATTTTTAGGCATACAAGACAATTCCAAGGACATTTGCTCCGCCCGAGGTAAGCCTTTTTGACAAGGCATTTCTAGCGGTGCTTGGGAATCAGATTGTGGAGTTTACCATGGGGAATTCAAATCATCTGGAAATGTTGGCAATGATCACACTGTCCATGCTGCCGTGCATCACATGGCGAGGGATGTGGAGTCTAGCGTGCTACTGTCTAGAGAGGGTCACAAGGCAGTTTGGTTATGATCAAGACATACCTTATGCTCCTTCATCAGACAAAACAGATAGGAATAAGGCCATGTAGCCTTACATTGATGAAGCTACCATGGCCATGTGAGGCAAGGGCGCTACCACGCTTAGGTTTTTTAGCGTCACTAAAATGTCAATTATGTCACCACTGATGTTGGAATATTGGGACGCACTACTAGAGAAGTTTGCAACCTTCATTCAATCATTGCCGAAAGTGGTGGAATATGACCCTACTTCTCGGGAATGTGAGCATTTTTTTACCCACAATAATTCTTTCTTGAGTTATTGCCACGAACACTCTTGTGGGTTTCTGATTAGGGAAGATAATGGACAGTGGGTACTCGTCTGTCCTCCCATTCCTGGCATGGCAGAGGAGGAGTTTGACCAGGCTGGTACCGTTGGTGAAGAATTTGGGCAAGAGGCAGCTGGCGGCGTCAGGGCTACAGGTAAGCATACTTTTTTGCTCTTACCTTAAGCTTTGATTCTTCTTTTATTTAGAACTTGACTAGATTGGACTAGTGCTGTAGAATACTTAATGTTCCCGTGCCTTTATTATAACATTG